TATGGTTCATAACTTGGAAACTTTATTTTTATATTCCGTTACCCAATATCTTTAGACAACATTCATCCCAGCAGGATTTTCCCTGTGTTCAAATAAGGAGTTAGTTCATAACATGGAAATGGTTGAAATCCCATCTAATTCGAAAACATGAACACACCTTTGCCACCAACAGTTTTCATAGTTTCTACTACCGAGTGCTGTGACGAAAGAGAAAATATGGACATAGCTTTGAAAGTTTAAATATTATGCTCGACATCAAACAAAGACAGTCATGTAACTTCAATCTGCTCTGGGTTCTGTTCCCATACTTTCTGGTGAGGCCAAATAGGGAAATTGGGTCATTAACTGAAAATGCTTGAAATACCAACCCTCTAACAAAATTCAAATATATTGGACTTGGCGAGACACATTCACCCATTCTACAAGGATTTCGTCTACTGTTGGTCTGTCCCAATTCAATGAGACAAAGTCTACTGGTCACAAAATGTTAACTGAGGTGATCCTCGTCCTATAACTATATAGTTAATTCCTTGTCATGAACAGAGATGAATACACATATTGCACTGCGATTGGTTCCAGGGTCCAACTCTGCTGCTGGAACCTTAGTTTCTAAATCATTATACACAGACTTATTTATTTTACATCAATTATAAAACAACTTATTTCAAATTATATTTATGACTCTTGTTGGCCCCTATATTACCGCGCTGAGGTATTTAATCTGGGAGCAAGCCGGAATACAAGAAGAAAACCGACGTGGTCGGGCAGGTGAACCCCATACCTCTCCACGTCCAATCAGAGAATCGAACCCGGTCGCCTTGTTGAAAGCCGAGTACGTTATCCACTGCGCAATCTGATCACCCATTACATGGACGCAGTAAGGTCCCTGCCCTATAACATAGAACATATCTTCGATTGGTGTACATTTTGGTGTTGGTGATTAAAGTCTATGGCAAAACACGGAAACGGTTAAGATTTCTACCATAAAAGGTATAATTACTTACGTGCCATCATGTAAGCAACGCTAAAATTTGCCAGGTTATACCGAGAACTATGAAATAAGACTGAGTAGATTGTTGTATTTGGTTGACAAACTGGTTTCAAAGTCATTTATACATAAGATTAGTCGTGGTAAGTACTATACACACCAACAATTTCTATGAAACTTCTGATAATGTTATTTAGGCGAGCCTCTCTATCAGTATCATCCCAAAGATACTATATCTTTCTTGGTATGTGTTAATGAATACAATGTCAGAATACACTACTTGCATGCTTTGCATAAGAAAATAAAGCTGAATCTTGACAGTTTTCAACGTCATATATATTTGGTATGCTATCAAAATCAAGGTGGTATAAGAATGGGAAGGTTTTCTTTCTGAAATCTTGCAGACATATGTTTTACCTATACTCTCCTTTACGAAACAAAGGAAAGCACACGTAAATGCATTTAATGAAGTTCTGTACACTAATAACCACACTAATTATATAAAGCCAAATGAATGAAATTTTATGGTTTAATGATTTCTATTTCTTTTTTTCGACTATAACAGTATTGCAAATGTGAAAAAACACTACGTTCACGTATGTATAAGGTTCGTTTTATATTCTACGGAATAATTAGTGCTGATAGTTACACCACACACGTGTACACGTAATCGTCATTGGGTTATCGAAATATGTAAGCAGCGCCAGGGAATTTCAAGCCTATATTACACCGGACAGTTAATTTTTTATGGGACATCAATACCGTAACGTTAATTCAAATGCCCTTCTCAATACAAGACAAATAAACAGAGGAACGGGGCCCATTGGAGAAATATAAGTAAACTTTCCTACTGTTTGATTAAATTGGCCTGGATTCGTTTCAGAGCATCCTTGGACCACGTAACCTCATTTTTGCTTATAAAGGAGTTGTTGCCCTGTGTGTACAACAGGTCCTTGCCATATAACCGAATATTTGTCATAACATGGCAACGGCCAAATCCGACCCCATAATTCATATATTCCGTTATTGGACACGTTTAGACAACACCTTTCATCCCGGCAGGGATTTCCTTGCGTTGGAACACGAGTGCGTTATCCACAGCGCCACCCGACAACCCATTTCATGGACACAGTTAGGTTCCTACCCCTTAACATAGAACATAAATTCGATTGCTGGACATTTTGGTGTTGGTGATTAAATGCTATGGCAAAACAGGGAACTGTTTTGATATCCACCTTACGATGTATGAAGACACGAACACTATCATGCTACCCGAATAAACTTAAGATCAGGCCCTCGTCCTGTTGATTATTCCCTGGTTGGTTACAACTAAACAGGTAAAATCCATTCCATATGAGCATATACATACATATATGTATATATCACGTAGTTCCGTAAGGGGTCAACAAAAATTACAGTAATACATCGCTTGGGTGAGAGAATCAATTGGCTTGCCCCTGTCTTGAGAGGCAGATCCGAAATTGCGAAATACTTGTAATAGAAATAGCAATTAATCTCTGTTCATTATCATATAAGTATCTGAGTGAGAAATGCAGGTCTTCTAAATCTGTTGTTACACAACGAATTGTGCTTCAGTCATTTTGTGTTACAGTTGTTATACTTAAAATTTGGCATCTTAATACTTTTGTTTGTTTGTTTGTTTGATTTTGTTTAACGTCCTTCTAATAGCTAAGGTCATTTAAGGACGGCCTCCCCTGTGTGCAAGATGCATGCGTGTAGTGTATGTGTGTGTATTTTGGGAGGCTGCGATATGTTCGTGTTTGTCTCCTTGTGATAGCGCGGAACTGATGCCGTCTTTATAGTGCTACCTCACTGAAACATACTGCCGAAGACACCCAGCAGGACGCCCCACCCGGTTACATTATACTGACAACGGGTGAACCAGTCGTCCCACTCTTAATTTGCTGAGCGTTAAGCAGGAGTATAAACTACCATTTTTAAAGACTTTGGTATGTTTCGGCCAGGGGACAGAACCCAAAGCCTTCCTCACAGGGGCGAACGCTCAACAAATGGCCAAAAGTGAGGCATTGTCAAGGGAGACATTAGGAAGAAGAAAATTATTTAGAAAGGAGAGAAGAGTTAACAGTCTCACTTTATAGCCTTTGTTATACTTATAATTTTTCAGTTTGGTATTTTTCAATTCAAGTTTGTTCAGAGCTATGTTGCAGATACAGCTTTTGACAAATTATAAGTTTAACAGTTGTGATACACATACAATGTTTAAAACAGAAGACAAACAAATGACGACATATTGCATGAAATTGAATTAGCCTCTTAAATAACTTACGTGTTAAGTTGTTTTATTAAACTGCTAGCTATCTTCGTTTTATGTCTCAAAATAATAGGATTAAGTATAAGTTTTCGTATTAAGTAAAACTATTAAATACTTGCAATGCAAATTCATAAAAACAATATCTCGCTTTTACGTTCCCAATTGCAGTAATGTAAAGGGAATGATAACAATATGCAATGCCATCCTTTATATTCGATCTATGCTCTACGAAATATGCTCATGAACAATTGGACGACATACACAATATCAACGTAATTACATGGAATAAGCAGATAGTGCAACTGTCTCGATACCTTCTACGCACTTTCAGGAAATGCCATTTGGTTATAAACTTGTACGACACAACAGAAAGCATAGGCCGGAATGTGTATCACGGTAATGTAAGCAGCACAAGACATTGTCATTGATACCGAGAACTATGAAAATAGAGAGAGTGGATTGTTTTAATAGGTTGTCAAAATCGGTATAAAATCATTTACTCATATACATTGTCTTGGTTAAATATCTTTCGTGTGTTTATGAATACAATGACCAAAATGTAATACTTATATTACTTTGTATAAGACACTATCACTAAGGTTGGATAGGTTTCAGTACTATTTCTTTATTGAATTTGCTCAGTTTCACGTGATGTTTCTATATAAACAAAGGAAGTATTGTTTTTAACATCTTGTAGATGCACGAAACTTCATCTATACTCACGTATTCAAAAAAATAATAGGGAAAACACTTTTGGCATTGAATGGAGTTTAGCATCAAACGTTACCTACATAAATTAGATTACATGTATATGGTATAAAAATATTCATTCTGCTGATAAGTTATTTTTTCTAGTTTTTCTTCTGCTATTACAGAATTGTATATAACATAAAAAGCACAACCTAATATGAGGTTAATGTTTCGTTTTGCATTCTACGGAATACAGCTATAAATAGTAACACCACAGACACAACCACGTTAATTGCTTTATATTGTTGATCAACACCGTAACAAAACCTATTACTACATTGTCACTGGAATCGCCAAACACATTACGTAATTCCGTGAAAAAGTTTCGTTTTGATTTCTGCGAAATATGGCTAAAGAGAGTACCACCCTTTACATGTATATGTACACGATTATCATAGAATCATCAGGTCATTGTGTAATGTATGTCTCCTTAGCTTCTTCGTGTAATTTCATGTTGTTTATACCCTAATACGACTTAGTGTGGGATAGATAAACCTGACCTTTTATCACCGACAGGCATCAATACTTTGTTTGTTTGATTTTGTTTAACGTCCTATTAACAATGCGTGTAGTGTATGTGTGTGTATTTTGGGAGGCTGCGATATGTTCATCTTTGTCTCCTTGTGATAGCGCGGAACTGATGCCGACTTTATAGTGCACCTCACTGAAACATACTGCCGAAGACAAACAGCAGGATGCCCCGACACCCGATCACATTATACTGCATCAATACTTGACCTGTTCAGATTGTACGGAGAAATACTGAATATGTCATTATTAGTTATACAGGTCTTATGCAGGGAACATGGTCTCATCTTTGGGTGTCGTATGCTACCTCACTGAAACATACTGCCGAAGACAAACAGCAGGATGCCCCGGCACCCGATCACATTATACTGCATCAATACTTGACCTGTTCAGATTGTACGGAGAAATACTGAATATGTCATTATTAGTTATACAGGTCTTATGCAGGGAACATGGTCTCATCTTTGGGTGTCGTATACACACGCACCCGTAACATTCCCACCTCACTCTGCACTGTGCTGCCGTCGGAGCAGGACGGACCTTTCCAGGCCTCTGGTAAGTCATTATCATTTTAGTAGAAATGTGTAAATGTACATTAGCACAGTGCGATATAATATAATACTATATCTTAATTATAACGTCGAAGCTTATAAAGCGAAAGTATAACTAAATAGTGTAGATAGACATAGTTTCGCATTTATTGTATATCTATCATCTAATAAGTTAGTTTCATACTTAGTTCGACTCATATATTTTAATACTGATATATTGTATTTTAGGTTTATCTACTGGACAAGTAATAAACACCAATGAACTCAAATCTTGTGCTTACTATAATTGAGAGGAGCGAGCGACTTTACATTACTATAGTGGTTGTTACTAGTTTAAATGTGGGTATGTTAATTAATCCCAACGAAGTATGTAAAGTTTATGTGTGAAGTCAAGTACTTCTAAGATGGTTTTAACCTGTACGCCACAACAGAAAACATAGGCCAGAATGTGTATCACCGTAATGTAAGCAGCACAAGACCTTGTCATTGATACCGAGAACTATGAAAATAGAGAGAATGGATTGTTTTAATAGGTTGTCAAAATCGGTATAAAATCATTTATTCATATAAATTGTCTTGGTTAAATGTAGTACCAATATACAGTTACATTTTATGTTTAACATCTATAACTGTTATTTATAAATATTCCGGCGAGCCTCTGACTATGCATTATCCACAAGATCTTATACTTATCTTTCGTGAGTTTATGGATACAATGACCAAAATATAATACTTATATTATTTTGTATTATACACTATCACTGAGGTTGGATAGGTTTCAGTATTATTTCTTTATTGAATGTGATCAGTTTCACGTGATGTTTTTATATAAACAAAGGAAGAATTGTTTTTAACATCTTGTAGATGCACGAAACTTTTTGGCATGATACGTTAACTAAATAGATTAGATTACATGTATATGATGACCTTTTATCACCGACAGGAAGCAATACTACACCTGTTCAGATTGTTGACCTTTTATCACCAACAGGAAGCAATACTACATCTGTTAAGATTGTACGGAGAAATACTGAATATGTCATAATTTATTATGTATATAGTTGATAAACACAAAAACAAAGTCGTTTAAAATGAGTTCCTGATAAATTGGATACAGAGACTAAATTAAGGGACAGGACCCACTAGGAAAATATAGGTAAATTTTAATAATCTTTCTCCATTTTATAAATATGGGAATTTTAATCAAAATTTACCTAGAGCATCACTTGGCCAAGATGACTAAAGCATTTTCTATAAAAGAGGTTGTAGCCCAGTTTGGCAATAGATCATGGCCAAATGGACGCATATTGGTCCAAACACAGAAACCGTTAAATTAACAACTTTTATACATATACATCCTTACTTGGCATCTTTAGGCGAAATATTCATCCCTGACATCCCTGACAAATGATATTTAGCCAGTAACATGCTAGAATGAAGGGCTACCAAGTTTGTTCAAATGAATTACCTTTACTTATATTCAAGGTCACAAGGGTCAAATATGTTAAAAACCTTTAAACAACTTCTTCTAAGTAACCAAAAGGCCTGGGATGATGCTATTTGGCCAGTAGCATGCTGTGATGAAGGGCTACCAAGTTTGTTCGAATGAATGACCTTGACTAATATTCAAGGTCACAGGGGTCAAATATGTTTAAAACCTTTCAGTTCAGATTGTACGGAGAAATACTGAATATGTCATTATTAGTTATACAGGTCTTATGCAGGGAACATGGTCTCATCTTTTGGGTGTCGTATACACACGCACCCGTAACATTCCCACCGCCCAAATACCAAGTGAGCTTATACCGTGGTCCGTCGTAAACAATTTGCTGTAAACGACATTTTATTGATAATCAAAAGGCTTAGGGTTATGCTAATTGGTCAGTAGAAGAATGGGGAAGGGGGCCGTCAAGTTTGTGCAAAGGAATTATCTTGACCCATATTCAAGGTCACAGGGATCAACTTCTAAGGAATAATTAAAAAGGCTAGGGTGATTATAATTGGCCAGTCATATACAAGAATGAAGGGCCATCAACTTGGTGCAAATGAATGACCTTCACCTATGTTCAAGTTTTCCTATGATCATTTAGGGTAAAATAACACGTTAAAATAGGCTATCACAAAAATGGATACATCTAACTAGAAATGAATTTCGATTAGATGTAAAAACAATCACATTGATTGAACAGACACTATCAAATAAACTGTTCATACACTATACATTATAGAATCTGTCACGTTTTTGTTTGAAATCAGCGCATTCAATCGTAAAATATTTGACTGCAAATGGCTAAACACATGCATGACAACAAGGTTGCTCTTCTTTATGTAAATTATAACTGTGTGTGATGTAGGTATGGCCTATGCGCAGTCGCGAGAGGACAACTTCCTCTCTACGGCCCGGTCCATCTGCCGCACATGAACCTACGTTGGGTTGAACTAAGAATAATTTGTTGTTCACCGTTTCAAACCATTTATTTTGCCAATTCGTTCAAATAAAATTCACAATTAAAGGTTTAAAATCACTATAGGGTATTTTTAATATCTATTGGATGTAGATTTAGAGCTTGTTTGGCAACTCTATCTACTCTCTCATTTCAAGGTCACAAGGGTCAAAATTAGAGAAAAAAGCCAAGGGAGAGAGGATGTTTGGCCAGTAACATGTTAGAATGAATAGCCATCAATTTATTCAAATGAATGACCTTGATCCATATTCAAGGTTGCAAGGGCAAATGCGTTGAAAACCCTGAAACAACCAGAGGACATAAAATACACCAACATGCCCTGTCTCCTGCACTCGCACACACACGCAAGCTAAAACATTACCAAATCCTTGAAAAAGTTTTGTTCAAATGAATTACCTTTGCCCATATTCAAAGTCAATAAACAAGAGGCATTGGGGTGTTGGTATTTTGCAATTAGAAAGCTACGATAAAGGGTAAGAGTAAAGCAAATTGCACACATGAAGGCATATCCTTGAATGACCTTAGCTGTTTATAGTACGTTTAATCCTATAAAACAAAAACTAATGTCGATCATCTATTAAGAAATCTGTTGGGAAACATTTTCATAAATAGCTTGAAAAAATCTTGAAGTAATTAAAAGAACTTTGTCCATTGCCTTCCCATTCGAACCTTGCAACTAACCTTTTCCCCATGATTTCCATCAACAGATCACAGAAGAATCAGCGGTGCTTTTTCTTGCGGATAAACCTGAGGAAGACTTGAAGAATAACTCGAAGGTTTGCAAATTCCTTACGTTTTCCTTTGAAAACGAAATATTTGCTTACGCTGAACGAGCTTTACAGTATGTCCAAGACCAACTTGCTAAGAAAAGGGAACACAAACAAGAGACGTTGAGCTATACCAGGCTGGAGATTTATTCTCTTCTTGCTAGAAAACTACCGGACCACGATACACCTATCAAACAGTCGTAAGTCTATTCTATCAAATTTTGTTTCTCTTAGCAGAAATATCGATCAATGCCCCTTATGCTTAAAGATTAAATGTTAAACCCACGTATTTTCCAACGATACCAACTAAATAATGTCATTAAATCTGGACCGAATCGATTTATTTATTGAAAAACTTAAACTTAATAGCCTTTTCTTCAATATTTGTAGGCAAATGTCATTAACCTATTGATTTCGATCATTCGAAAGTTGTTTGAATAATTTAAACGTTTTTTTACTTGACTTTTTTTTAAAGTCACATGTGTCAAAAATGTTAAAACCTTTAAACAACTTCTGAAAAACCTAAGGTGCAAGGCTGATTATATTTGGGCAGTAGCATGCTTTGATGAATGGCTACTAAGTTTGTTCAAATGAATACTTTTCACTTGTATTCAAGATCGCAGGGTTGTTTGAATAAATATGTATGTGAACTTTTTCGGAAACCAAAATACCCAGGATGATAATATTTTGCCAGTAGCATACAGGGATCAAGAGCTACCAAGTTTTTACTTTTTCGCCCATATTCAAGATTATAGGGGTTAAATATGTCTTTCAAACGACATCTTCTGAATAAGCAGAAGACCAAGAATGTTGATATCTGGCCAGTGGCATGCTTAGATGAAGAATTACCAAGTTTGTTGGTTTTATTGAACTTCACCTATATTCAAGGTCACATAGATAACATGTCGAAAAATCTCTTTAAATAATTTCTTCTGAATAACCAAGCGGCCTAGGATGATATGTGGCCAGTTACATGTTCAGACAAATACTATGATGTTTGTCCTTATGAAGATCATGTGGGTCAAATGTTTGGTTTGGTTTTATTTTGTTTAAAGTCCTATTAACAGCTAAGGTCATTTAAGGACGGCCTCCTCAAGATGCATGCGTGAAGTGTATGCCTGTGTGTTTTAGGAGGCTGCAATATGTTCGTGTCTGTCTCCTTGTGATAGCGCGCAACTTTATAATTCTACCTCACCGAACCATAGTGCCGAAGACACCCACCCCACCCGGTCACATTCTACTGACAACGGGCGAACCAGTCGTCCCACTCCTAATTTGCTGAGCGTTAAGCAGGAGTAGAAACTGTGTTGTCATGAACTACTGCTTGTCATGAAAAATGGTTACATGACAATAACCAAATGCATAGGGCGGTGATATTTTCCCAGTACACCCCACCTTTTCGGGAAAAGAATACACCAGCTGAATGTATCGTAGGAGGCGACTAATGCTTGAACCCTCTGCATAATTGGGGATTTGGTTTTGTGTCCTAAAAGCAATATGCTGCACCCATTGCAACATTTGGGATCTATATCTTTCCTATTTTTCCTAGCGCCTTACTTGGCAACACCTCACTTTTGGCCTTGATGTTGAGCGTTTGCCAATGCGAGGAAGGCAATGGGTTCTGTCCCCAGGCCGGGACATACTAAAGTCCTTAAAAATGGTAGTTGTTATTCCCTGCTTAACGTTCAACAACTGGTTCACACCTTCAGCATGGTATTTCAGTGAGATAGCTCTATAAAGTCGGCATCAGATCCGCGCTATTACAAGAAGGCAAGCACGCCAACATACCCGTGTCTCCTGCATACACTACACACACGGAGGTACGTCCTTAAATGACCTTAGCTGTTAATAGGACGTTTAACAAAATTAAACCCAAACTTGTCCCAGTAGCATGCTCAGATGAAGAGATACAAAATGTATTAGGTTTGTTATGTGAATCTGTTCAAAAGGGTAAAAACACTTAAATGACCTTATCTCAATAAACAAATAGCTTAGATTGATAATACTTTGCAAGTTGCATGCTGAGATAAAGGGCTATAACGTTTGTTCAACTTAATGACCTTGTTAGAATTGCTCAGCGTTAAGCAGGAGTAAAAATTACCATTTTTACAGGCTTTGGTATGTCTCGGCCAGGGGACAGAACCCAAAGCCTTGCTCACAGGGGCGAACGCTCAACTAAAGGTCACAGGTGAGGCATTGTCAAGGGAGACATTAGGAAGTCGCTTAGAAAGAAGAGAAAATAAGATCCCAAATTTAGTCGCTTCTTACGATCATTCAATGCGGACAGCAGGCACAATTCTTACGTCCTACCTGCAGGGACAGAGTGCTTTGTAGATAGTTTGTTTACGTTGTACATAAAACATCGAATTCATTATACAGTTGTCTTCTGAAAATACGAGCCCCTATACTCAATGCAAAGACATTGATAAAATTGAGTCGAATATAAAGGAAACCTCCCTAACAATTAACGTTCGGAGTATAATCTAATTTACCTTTTATGCATATAGGACATTAAACAAAAGACTAAAAATATATCACTCTTTCAGGACCGATAACATCGAATTACAGAGCCCCGATTGTGGGCTTGTATCCGAGGCACTTCAAAACGAAAGGTAAATGAGTTTTAAATCAAGACTTTACAAGATTGTTTAATTGTGCATATAAATGGTACCCTGTATCATACAAATACGTGACAGATTTTATAATGTACCCTCTATGAAACGTTTATTTAATACAGTTCTGTGTGCAATCAATATATGATTATTTACATTCAATTAATCTCTATAATAACATATGATATCTTTTATAACTAATTCGTTTGTTATTGATATATGTTGACATATTTTACACATTTTCCCCCTTTGTTTCTTTTTTTTATATATTCTTTGTCTTGTAAATGTTTATCTTTGCTTCGATGTTTGGCCCTAAATGACTCGAATTGTGGATGGGCCGTAAAACAATACAAAAGAAACAAACCCGATTACCGACTAAATGAGAAATGTGGCAATACTTAATTTTGCAGCCAATTCGTTTGTTGTCGATGTAATTCTAAATCCTTAACATATTATATAATCTGTTTAGTTTTAGTTTAATATGTTCATCAATGTGAATGTCTATTTTAACGTGTTGTTTGGCCCTAAATGACTCGCATTGTCGATGGGCCGTTAAACAATACAAAAACAAACAAACTTAATTACGGACGCCAACAACTGGTTCACGTGTTCACGTTCAGTAATGTGACCGGTCGGAATACTGTGCTGGGTGATAGCACTATAAAGTCGGCATCAGATCCGCGTAATCGTCTTTAAATTACCTTAGCTGTTAATAGCACGTTAATCAAAATAAAACCAAACTAAACCGAAAGTTTCGGTTAAGTCTGATGGTGAATATTTTGTCTCAAACGTTTGCTGTTACCTTGATGGCCACAGTCATCTTTTTGAGTAGTAGCATGGTTCATGATATACACACTTTTCTAATGATTCATATAATTTTAAAGTGGTGATTGCAAATTTTAACCGCTCGAAAATTGGCTCAAAGCTACCCGGAACGACTAAATTCATATATATTTAAAGTGACAATACTAAGGATGAATCTTTGTTAATAATATCCTTTTTCATCTATGCCATATTTATTTACTATAACATCAAGTATGAGGTATAATGCAAGATGGTCGTCATGGCTTCTGATTTTGTCGAGACATTTTCAACTTCTCGAGAAAACCTAAATCAATTTACTTAAAATTTGAAAAACTTTCCTATTTCCTATGACAATTGTTTTTACTTTTCGTGCCGATCTGATAATCAAAATGACAACCCTACCGTCTGATAAGTCGAGACTCTTTTGACTGTTTTACAAGAACTGTCGTGTCGGTACTATAATGTCTCCTTTGACAATGCCTCACTTTTGGTCTTTATTTGAGCGTTCCTGTGATGAAGGCTGTGTGTTCTGTCTCCTGGCTGAGACATACCAGAGTCTGTCAAAATGGTAGTTTCTACTCCTGCTGAACGCTCAGCAATTTAGGAGGTGGACGACTGGATCGCCCGTTGTCAGTATAATGTGATCGGATGGGGTGTCATGCACTATAGGTAGCACTATAAAGTCGGAATCACTACCGCACTATCACAAGGAGACAAACACGAGCACATACATGCATCTTGCACACAGGGGAGGCCGTTCTTAAATGACAATAGCTGTTGATAGGACGTTAAACAATACTTAACCAAACCAAACCGTATTTGTGCATGTTTAATTTTGAGACTGATCGGGTAAACAAAATGGCCGACACGCAGTCATCTTTAGTTTGACAGTATAGGATTGTTATTGCTATATGTCGGAAAACAATTAAGGGATATTTCTCAAATTTCATATTGAGACTCGATCTTAAAAACAATATGGCCGTCAGGCAGCCATCTTATATTTTCAATATTTTTTTTATCGCTATAAATCCCATGTGAATGTTCCCCTTGGTTCATAATCATGTATGTATTATTTTGAGACTGTTTTAAAAAACACGATAGTTGCTGGCGGTCATCTTGGATTTTGACATTTTAGGAATATTATCACTATTTCTAAGGACAGATCTTTCACATATTGTGATAGTAGTGTACAAGTTAATATGTAAAACGACAAACTATTTTTGAAGGTTGTCTTTTATACACAGCAGTATAAAGTTTCAAACAAAAGTTTCATTTATTGTTAATATGACTCGATCCTACAGATTAGTGAGAAAAAAAGAGAGAAAAAAAGAGAGAAAATTTCGAACTGACAAAGGACTTACTTAAAGATAGTACGATAGTGGGCGCCCAGATCCCTCTGGGATCTCTTGTTAGGACCGATAACAAAACCAAGATGGCTGACAGGCAGTCATCTTAAATCAACGAGTTCAAGTTTGTTACCGCTATTTCTCAGAATGTTCAGTAAGGGTCTTTCTCAAATTTCACATGAAGGTTCCCTTTGATTCATAGTTCCGAATTTTGGGGATAATTGGAAAACTAAGATGGCCGGCAGGTGGGCATAATGAATTTAGGATTGGTTTGGTTTAATTTTGTTAAACGTCCTATTAACAGCTCAGGTCATTTAAGGACGTGCCTCAATGTGTGTAGTGTATGCGTGATTGCGTGTGTGTATATACAAGAGACAGGTAATGTTGGTGTGCTTGCGCGGTATGGTTTGGTTTAATATTGTTTAACGTCCTATCAACAGCTATGGAAATTTAAGGACGGCCTCCCATGTGTGCAAGATGTATGCGTGTGCGTTTTGGGAGGCTGCGATATGTTCGTGTTTGTCTCCTTGTGATAGCGCGGATCTGATGCCGACTTTCTATGTCACTGAATACCATGCCGAAGGCACCCAGCATAGCATTCCGCGCGTTCACATTATACTGACAACGGGTAAACCAGTTTTTCCCATTTCCCTACACGCTGAACGTTAAAAAGGGAACAAGAACGACCATTTTTAAGGACTTTGGTATGTCCCGGCCTGGGACCAGAACCCATTACCGTTCTCACCTGGGCAAACACTCATTATTCAAGCAAAAAGTGTATAAGGAAATAAAAGGTAGTTGGGAGTAATAAAGCTTTTTTAGTGGTATTGCTCAAAAAGAACTGGAGGGATCTTTCGCAAATTTCACATAAGCGTTCCTCCTTGTTTTAATTATGAACATCAAAGTTTTGGACTGATTATGAAAACAAAGATGCTGACAGGCAGCCATCTTGTTACAGTTAAAGTTTGTTGTCACTATTTCCCAAAAGCACTGAAGGAATCTTTCTCAAATTTGATATGTAGGTTCTCCGTGGTCCTTAGTTGTGCATGTTTTCTTTTGAAATTGATCAAAAGACTGATTTAAAAGGCGGACAGGCAAACTGATCGACCAGATAAGCGAAATTTAGAGAAAAGATCAAACTGACGTAGAACTAATAAAGAAATTTGATATGTAGGTTCTCCGTGATCCTTAGTTGTGCATGTTTTCTTTTGAAATTGATCAAAAGACTGATTAAAAAGGCGGACAGGCAAACTGATCGACCAGATAAGAGAAATGAAGAGAAAAGATCAAACTGACATAGAACTAATAAAGATTGTACGATGGTGGGCAATACGATCCCTCTGGGAAATCTTGTTTACTGGAGCTTTAGGTCAGAGTGGTAAAAATATTGGAATGAATGCGTAGACAACAACTTACACTGTGTCAAACCGAAAATCGGTGAATGGTATTCAAGATATAGAGGAATCCGCCGAGACGTGGTTGTCCTTGCCCGCCACCGGATTGGTCATTCATAAATAACCTGTTCTTATTTAATGAAAAACGTAGACCAGCCTCAATGAATGGTATATCGCGAATCATTAACAGTAAAACACTTGTTACTAGATTGTATAAACCTTCAGCAAACAACAGATTTCTTTTCTAATAATATAAAGGATCTCAAATCTCGTCAAAACATTCAGTATCTCTACAAGTCATGCCTACCTTTATACTGTTGGTCAGTTCAAAACGACCTCTTAAGAGTTGATTGGCTGTTCAGAATTCAATATGATTATGGTAATGTTGAAGCATCATTTGGCGCGATTGTATTGTTATGCTGTAATTTAGCTTTTTGTTTAGTGTGGAGGATTGTGGTATCCGGGGTTTCTGCAACACTATTGACGAATTCTTAGTTCTTGTTGCCGAACCAAAACGAAAAGCTGACAAGACACGCATTGCAGATAGTATCGAAAAAAGTTTTCGGAAACTGCTGAAAGAGAAACCTAAATTGGTATGGGTTAACAAAATAACAACGGCTGATCTTACTGCTCAAGGTTCTAAACTTACCAACACAGAGAAAAATCACTGGGGAACCCTAGGCTGTTTCGGCAAAGACCCTGGCAATTCGTTGGTAGCAATAACCGCTGGGCATTGTGTAGAGAAAGATCAAATCGTCCAAATAGAAAACAACGGCACTTCGGAGGAATTCGGGCGGTGTGTACAAAGTCACAATTCGACTGAATTCGACATTGCGGTCATTAACATTAACGATAGCATGGAACCTCGTTGCACATTTAAATTTCGTAATGAAAAGGACGAAGTGTGCAAGGCGTCCGTATATCAGGGGGATCAAATCAGGAACTGGCCTGTGCATAAAATAGGAGCTGCAACTCAATGGACTAAGGGCGTTGTATACTGCGGGGAGGCTCGCGTGTGTGACGAAATTGGAATCATCATTGTAAACGTGAACGACATCGTCTTCGCAGAAGAGGGCGACAGTGGAGCTATCGTGTTCTTCTATGATCCAAACGACATACATAACAGGGAGGTGAAGCTGCTATCCATAGTATCAAAAGAGGTCGATGTGGGAGGAGGCTCCATTCCAGTCGGACTTTCTAGAAAACCAACACTGACTCGAAGCTTGAAAGATGGACTCGATAAAGTCCCAAATATCATAATAGAATATGAAAGGGATTGAAAAAACAAACTCTGGAGGTAAAAGGAAACCTTTTTCATTACATACTGACTATGATATTATTTCGGAAAAATATTTATCGATTTTGTTTTGTTTTGATTGATTTGGACAGTTAATTAGGAAGAACGAGAAACGGACTGAAATTAAGATACTTTTTTCTATATCTTACATTTGGTTTATATACAAAATACTACGGTATAAACATCAGACCTACCCATGCAAGCACATGCATTCGTTAAAGGAATACTTCCCATCTGTCAATCATATATACACAAAGTTGGAGGGACGATAGTCTAGTGGTAAGAAGCCGGGCTCGTGACCGAAGGGTTGCGGGTTCAAGTTACGTCACGGCACTGTGTTGTATCTTTGAACAAGATACTTTACTCCACTTGTTTTAGTTTACTCAGCTGTAAATGAGTAAGTGGCTGGGCAGTGCTAGAGTTGTTAAATGCTAGCTGTGAGCGCCTAAATGGCAGGTGATAAAGCGGTAAATAGGAACCTCAAATTTTTATTTTAAAACCCAAGAAATGCAAGATTTGTTATTTCCAGACCATATATCAGAAATTGTGACAGATAATTTTACAAAACTTTCTTATTACATGAACTTAATTGTTTAGAAGTGGTGGGGGATTTTTTATCTTTATCTCCTTATTTTAACACTTTTATTCATAATGACAGTGTTTTTAGCACAAAGTCACAACAACTGAACTGTTATCTGTATTTAGAGATGCATCCAACATTCAGATATATCAAAAAGTAAGTGTTTATAGACATTTTGTTTTATTCCGAATGCATGTCTTAATAAAAGATAACAGTTTTGTGGCTTTTGTACCAATAAATATAGTAACATATAACTATAAGTGTTAAAAAAATATGAAGAAAATCCCCCTCCTCTCTATTCTTTTGACTCCCATTTATTGAGATTTTATTAAGATATTATAAATACAACATGTTACACATTATATCAAAGTTATGAAGAAACTTTCAAAATATAATATGTAATTTTGTCAAAACGAGACCATTTATGATTTTGGTCCCCCACTTTACCCTCTCATATCTCGGAATGGTCTCCGAGCTGACCTTAATTTTGTTTCATATCATGATAGCATAACCCTAAGGTATGTATATACAAAACATAAACGTATCGGTGATAGCCACCAAAAGGCCCAAATTCACACCCCTCCTTTGAGAAAAATCTTTCAATTATTTCCTGAGAAATAGCGAAAACGAACAAACACTGTCAAATATCCAAGATAACCATATATGCCATTGTTTTTATCCGAACCACCTCAAAGTTAATCATGTTGAATAAGAAATGACAGGAACCTACATATGAAATTTAAGAAAAATCCCGAGAAAAAGCGATAACTAACATTCACTGTCAAAATGCAAGATGGCCATCTCTCGGCATTTATGTTAAACAGAACCATCTCAAAATAAAACATGCACAACAAGAAATCAAGGGTAACCTACATATCAAACTTAAGAAAGTTCCCTCATTTACTTCCTGAGCAATAGAATAACAACATTCACTCTCAAAATCCTAGATGGCTGCCTGTCGGCCATTTCTTTTATTCAATTATGTAGTCTCAAACGTTTACATGCACAATTTTAGACCAAATGGAACCTACCTTAACTTGAGACAGATCCCTCTAGATCTTAAGAAATAGCGATAACAAACCTTCACTATGAACATCCGAGATGGCTGTCTGTCGGCCATTTTGTTTGGCTGATCAGTCTCAAAACATAATATGCACAATTTGACCAAGGAAAACCTTAATAACGAATTTGAGAAAGATTCCCTCAGAAATAGCAATAACAAGAATTGTTTAAGGACGGACGGACCACGGACGAACGGCAATTTGAATAGAAAAAAGATACCTGAAGACTTCAAGGGTACAGCAAACTTCGGGGACTAAAAAACCCACCAGCATGATGAAACAAAGTTGATCAGAATTAAACAAGGAGTCAATTGACCGAAGTTCAAGGTCACTGGGTCAAAGGTGAAGGTTACATTTTGTATCTTTTCCCTGATGAACATTTTGTTATGACATTATGCAGCAAAATTGGTCAGAATTAAAAAAGGAGTTAATTGACCCAAGGTCAAAGGTCACGGTCAAATTTTGTATCTTTTCCCAGATGAACATTTTGTTATGACTTTATGAACCAAAGTTGGTCGGAATTTAACAAAGGGTCAACTGACTTAAGGGACTCGGTCAAAGGTCAAGGTAAAAATTAGTATTTTTTGCTGGTGAACATTTCATTATGACACTTTGAAGCAATGTTTGTGGGAATTAAACAAAGAGTCATTTGACCAAAGGGCAAGGTCACTTGGTCAAAGGTCAAAGGTCAAATTTTGTATCTTTTCACTGATGAACATTTTGTTATGACATTATGTAGCAAAGTTGGTCGGAATTTGAAAATGAGTCAACTGACTTAAGGTCAAGGTCATGTGGTCAATGTCAAGGTCAATTATTGTATTTTTTTACTTATGAACCTTTTTTTATGTTATTATGTAGCAAACTTGTTCAGAACTTAACACAGAGTCAACTGACCTTAGGTCCAGGTTACGGGGTCCAAAGGGTCAAGGTTTGTATTTTTCACTGATGAATATTTTGTTATGATATTATGAAGCAAAGTTGGTCGGAATTAAAAAATGAGTCAACTGACCAAAGATCAGGGTCACTGGGTTAATGGTCAAGGTCATTTGGGTCCAAAGGTCAAAGACAAAGTGGATCTCTGACTTTGACTCTGGCTCTTGATGGAGGAGGTATATAAGGTGAAATAAAATAAATCAAAGCTAACAAATGAGCATTGCACTGGTATTTCTTGGGTCGATCAGAAATCAAATATGGCCGCCACGGCCGTCATTTTGAAACACTATATCAAACTTAAAGTCAAGTTATACTGGGCCCATTTAACTGAAACTTGGTAGGAATGGTCGACTCATGGTCCTTACAAACTTAACCTAAAGTGATACTTACCTATTTTTACTCAAATTTTGTAAGGGATGATTGACATCATTATTTCCACTTCATATTCTAACAGCAAAAATTAATACTGTAGGACTCGGGTGACCGTTACAGCCCATGGGCCTCTTGTTTGTGAATCTTACAAAACATGTTTCTACTATACCAATGGCGGGTTTTAGACCAAATTTGTTCTAGAGCATATTTAGGCAAAGGGGACCTATTTTTGCATAAATGGAGGTTGTGACACCCCCTCCCCCGACACACAAATACAAGTTAACATAGATTTTTCTTTATTTTGTAGTGCAGTTATATCCATTTGGCTATCAATAATAAGACAAGACATTGGTTTTTAATAAAGTCAGTATTTAGTCTGTGTTAACTATATTGAAAATGTTAAGTTACAATGTACATATTGTTTGTTTGATGGACAAGTAGGTCAAGTGTCATAATAATACATACTTACCCTGGATTGTATACCAGCTTAGTGGTGTAATAGCATGTATACGCTGTCTGTGTGTTATTTACGATGCATATTTATGCTGAGGACCGTTTATACAGATTAAAATCTTCTTATTGTCGAAGGGTCAGTTATATCTTCGTTTAACATGCATGTGCTATCATCAAGCTGCTTTCTGATTATTTTTGTAGTTTCAATGTATATAGTTTTGCTGCATAATCCTACTTTTTCTACTAGCATGCTTTTTACCTTGTTATTACTCTGTTTTTATACGACTACGTGTCACCATGTTAGTCAGAGGTATGCTGTATATCTGAATTGGTTTATTGGTTTAATATTATTATAACGCGGACAAAGTACTATTGTATAATTATTATACGCGGACTAAATATTGTACCGATTGCATCGACCGTTCATACAACTTGTACCATTGAATGTTTGGGTTTTCTTTCGGTGCCAAATTGGCAGCAAATAAGTTTTAATTTGAGTAATTTCCTCACAGATGACAAGTTGGACAAAGGTTTAGAGTCAGAACCGAACCCCTAGGTTGTATACGCCCGTCGAATGCAAACGGTGTCCAGTTGATATCTCGAGAAGTTCATATGATAGCTCGGACAAGTTCGATAAAAGCATCTATCGGATTGTAATGTATGAAGTTATTGCTCTTTATTCAATTGCCAAAATTTTTTAACAGAGTAAGTTCAAACTGTAAAGGAAAGTTCATTGCAATGATAGCTTGGACAGGACTATAATTTAGACTTAGACAACATTTAATGTATGACGGGTATTTATGTCCCGCTTTTGCTGTACCTTTGTTGATATTTTGAAAAATGTTAACAATGTGCTTGGAGTGCTGCGTAGTCCCATCCCGACCCCTTCCTGGTGAATTGGTATAAAACAGTATGTTTGTACTTCTGTCAGGGATATGGATTTAAACTTGCAAGACGACACTCACGAAATTTTAACCTATTGACAACTCTAACTTTTGTCTGCTTGATCTTTAGAACCTGGATTTATTTACTATTGTTTGTCACTTTATTTTACTATTGTGGAATGTTTTGTCTAATGTATATACCATAAATAAATAAATTGTCTTTTAGCAACTTTAAGAATTATCGTCTTACTTCAAACATTTAAGTACGTTTCTGCCATAGCAATGTTATATTTCGGACCGATCAGGTATCAAAAATGACCGCCATCTTGAACATTCCTTTGAAATTGCACTCTAATTCTTGGGGGAAAATAATATAATGAATCTGCATAGATGTATATGTTTTGATATTTTATCAGTTTTACTGCATAATGTTTCCATTTGCTAAATATTAAAACGGCATTTTGTGAGTTTACGCCATGACAACACATCGTCGTTTGTCTGTCCGTCGTAAACTTTTCCTTCAAACAACTACTACATAACTGAAAGACCTTGAATCATGATAATTGGTTGCTAGATGCCTTGGATAGAGCCAAACAAATATATGAAGCACATATTACCTTGACTTACTTTCAAGTTCACCAAGATCAAAAAGGTCAGAAACTTTGAAAACCTTCAAAAGAGATATAAAAAGGCCAAAAAACCATGATGTTTGGCTGGTGTCCTGGGTTTGAGTCTTAAAAAATTGATCAATATGAATTATTAAAGTAATAAACAATAACCCTAAGCTAATGATATAAGGCAGGCGGATCCCATTAGATATGTTACATTAACCTACTATCAAGGTAAACAAATTCAAATGACATCTGAAAAACCGATAGGCCTAGAACCGGAAGCCTCCTTTGATGGGGCCTAATAAACTTCGAGGTCACAAGGGTCATATGTCTCAATTACTTCAATGATATAAAACAAACCAAAAGGCTAAGGGCCATGATGTTTAGTCGGTAGCCTCTTGGGATAGATGCTGACAAATTTTGCAATGATCATCTAAAGGGCGTCTTCCGAAAGAGAACCGAGGGGCTTAGAACCATGGTTGATGGCTTCATGGGTTGAAGCCTTACAAAGATAAGGACCTATAGCTACTTTCAAGGTCGAAGGGATCAAATATGTAAAAAAAACCTGCTCTACTCTAAAAAGATTTTGTTTGTTTGTTTGTTTCTCTAAAAAGATACAAATATATAGACCTTGCTTTACTTTAAAGTACACGGAGGACATATATGATGAAAAAAATCAGCCGACTTCTTAAATATTTGTGATGTTAATATTCTTTTCAGACGAATACAATTAACAAATACATAGAGTCGAGGTATATTTCATTATGGTCATCAAGTTTCACATATCAGCTTTCGGTGTCAGGCACATGTCAGGGAAAACTCTGGTCAATTAATCAAAATGATATTTACGTGTACATGTTCTGTTACCTAGGGGCCAGACACATTCTTGATTAAACGGTCTCTCCAATACTATGTAACACCAATTAAATTGAACATAAACTAAATTAAAAGAAATGAAATATATTCAGTATACCTTATTTCATACAATCATTCCAGTTTTTTTAGCTCACCTGGTCCGAAGGGCCAAATGAGCCTATGCCGTGGTGCGGCGTCCATCTGTCCGTCGTCCGGCGTCAATATTTTACAGTTGTGGGATCGCACAACGTTACACGATTTGCGGTGTGCGCACGATGTGTTCACGGTGTGTGAACGATGTGTGACGAAGTGCGAACAATAAAAAATTGGACGATCATTCCTTGCGTAATATTGCCCAGAATGAGGATATTTGGTCAGTAGCATGCTAGGATAAAGGGCTACCAAATTAGTTAAAATGAATGACCTTCACCTGTATTCAAGGTCACATGGATGAGGTTCAAATATGTTTACAATCTATAAACAACTTCTTTTGCATAATCAAAAAGTCGAAACTGTTGATAATTAACCAGTAGCGTACTTCGATGAAGGGCTATCATTTTTTTTTCATTTGAATGACCTTGACCCACATTCATGGTCTTATTTGTTTACATGTGTATAAATAAAAGGTATAGGGTGGTGGTACTTGGCAAGCTGCATGCTAAGATGATGGCTATAACGTTCAACGTAATGAACGTGTTGGACTTTCAAATGCACAGCGGTTAAATGTGTTTAATTCTTTTGAATGACTTATTGTCACAAATACTGATATTTTGCCTGTAGCTTTATTTCGGTCAATTTTTAGCTCAAAAGTACTGGAAAATACAAGAGTGACGATATAGAAATTCCATTGCAAAATATCCTATTCTTAATTAATTGATGCATAGAGTTTTACCAAAGCGAGATTATTTCATTTTCTTTTACTGTTCTTACCGTTGTCGTTTGTCGCCAGTGATGAAAACGGCGTCGTTGATGGCACAGCCGTTGTAGTAACATTGCCTGGAAAATATTATATTTATATTTGGGTTTAACAACGCAACGTTTGATACATTCCTGAGTAGATAGAATTTCCTTTTTCTGAACATCGACTTTAAGTGTGGTTTTGCTCTAAATAGCAAATTGACGACGTGGCGTAAATCAAAGAAAGAACGAAGTCCCTTTGCTTGACGTGGATTGACTTCAGTGACATTACATATTAAACATTCGTTCGATGATCGTTCACAATCTCAGTTATCAAGAAACCGGCTAAAGTCAACTAAAATATACATTTCATGATTTTCTTAAGTTTAAATATTATTGAACCTGTGTGCTTGCATTTAAGTCTAGTGAGCATATTCTGAACAAATACATAAATTGGAACTTTTGGTACGTGTGCTAATGTAACATGAAAGTATGGCCTGGTAATAAAAACATGGCTGATATCGTTAAGGATAGATTAAATATTAAAACCTAACGTATGATACCCTTGTATACAGAAAAGTGGAAGCTTTCTCTTGAGACGTGTTAAAAAGATAGGTGGAAAGTCAACACTGTATGACACTGAGGCTGCTTGTATGCGGTCATTATAATGTCAAGTGTGCATCGTTCAGCTGGATGAGTAGATAAACGATATTATTTTAAAAAAGTTATTAAGCAATAACTCAGGAGAAGCAGTTTCCCTGTGTAGTAGACCGCTTGCCAATATCCGCCGGGTTAAATACAAGAGGAGAAACAAATTGCTGATCCTAAATTAAACAGTTTATAACGTATACATTCAAATGTACATACATATTAAGGATTACAATTATAATCAGATTCATAAGGAGCAAGAAAACACGCCTGTTACACACAGATTTTCATACAAGTATATACAGGATCCACCAATTTGTAAGATATTTATTAAATCAATAAAAGAAATCTTCACAAATATTATATCAAATATAAATATCATCAAATCAATTTCGCTTTTTTGTTGCATCTCTTTATATTAATTATCCAATATAAAATAAAGTCATATTATTCTCTTTGAGGTATATATGATAACCAATTTCTAATCTCAAATCTCTGTTCGAAACGGTAACATCTATAAAGAATAGAACTAACAATAGATACCCACTTTTGCTTTTCAAGTGACAATTGCCTTATATTTTTGTTTGTTTGATGACATTTCCTTTGGCGTGTTTTATCCACCGTTTGTTGGCCTTAAAGACCAAATCTGGGTTGATAGGCCGTTATGAACTCAATGACTAACTGGTGTATGTAAACCTTATAAGGTTATGCAATGTCTACCAGCCACGAATAAACAAAAACAAAGCTGAAAATACTGAATATTACCGACCCACCTCCACTTCGCTCTCATTGTAACACACACAAATAGGTCATTTTAGGCAAACTGTTAAAAGTTCACTGCAATTAGCAAAGACCTAGATACTTACCTAAAGGTTTACTGGCAACATGTTTTATTATTATGATATTTACCATTACATGTAACATCACGATATAACCCTGTCATATTCTAATTCATTTAGTTGGGAATGGCATAACCCGATTGTTAATCACTTATATGATTGCATGTGAAAAACCGGAAAACAAATTGTTTACGATGGGACAATGGGCCTTAAAGATCGCCTGAGTAGCAATGGCTATATATTATCTCTAAGTCAAAATGTATTGCACTATATTCACAATGCATGTCAATATGGTAAAATAAAATAATAATTTGAGGTTCTTGTATACTGCGCTTTATCACAACCTAATTCGTAGGTTGTCTTAAAGCGGTTCATAAATTGTTATCCATGGTTATAGGGCCTTTGCAACTAGTCAAAATCTATCTCAACTCCCTGTATAGACAACATCAACCGGTGCTGCCGTTTTGCGATCACAACAAGCATTCAACATTTCCAGCACTGCCCAACCACTTTACGAATGGTTAATATCTATGCAATTGTGATAATTAGTTTTTTTATTTTTAAACCCCCACCTCCTTTCGTTGGGTTTCCATGAATTAAAGGGTCGACATAATGCAATTTAAACAACATGATAGGGCCCTTGGTTTCACGAGATCAGTAAACAGTTGTTTGGTTCCTGTGAACTGGTAATGTCCTGATTGGAAAGATAAGCTAAGGAATTTGGAACTTCCGCACGATAACCAACTAGCCTTATCACTAGCATTGTTCTGTATATAAATGTGTCATACTGATAGTTCAGAAATTCTTTACTAATCACGGGAAAATTGACTTTTCACTTATTGCCATCAATGTCAGGAAAAGTCTTCATAAGCAAATAGTCCTCTTGCATCGATTGTTGAATGAGCTATAAATTACCAGTACGGGAACGTACACATGGCGAACGAACACGCAATTCCCTTCGTTTGTTTTCATCTTTGACATCTTTTGACATATTGATTGTCATTATACTTTTTGAACGTCTATTTTGACAGTGATATTTGGTGCTAAATGAGTACACTAACATACCCTGCCTCCGGTACACATTCACACATGCACGCCTACACATCACACAAGGAGGCATGCTCTTAAATGACCTTAGCTGTTGATAGGACGTTAAACAAAATAAAACCAAACCGAACATAAATTGTCAATGAGCCGTAAAACAATACCAAATAAACGTGTGAGAAAAACCAATTCAATGAACAATAAAACTGAAACTCTGCTGTGAATCTTATGTTACCTTCTTGCAGCCTATAACAACGGGTCCGAGAACAAAACAGTACTCACAGTATTCTGTACACAGCTGGTTTTGTAGAATACATCGCCGAACTCGTAAATTTCTTCAACATGACAAACCTTTAAAAGTACAAATGTTAAAACTGAGTTCTTTCTAAACGGAAAACCTATAAAATAAGTTACCTTTCTGGTGTTTTATGCGAGTCTATGGTCCTTTTTCGCTGATGTTTATAATGTAAATAATTATTTGTATAAAGATGAACATACCCGGCAACATAATTGCCGATATCCTTTAAATTGCATTGTATAAATATACTTTCCGTTGATAAAACTTCCACAAATTTTAATTAAAACTATACTTTGTAAATACTGCAAAATGTAATATCGATACCTGTCCCTGATGACAAACTGATATGACGGCACAATCGGCAGGATCACGTGATTGTGGACAATTGAAACATACCGGTCCCCTCTGTTTTGGAAATCCTTAACAAATAGTAACGATTTAATAACACACCGAAGAACATCATAGCGTAATAAGTATTCGTTTAAAAGTGGTGAGCCTCAAACTTTTCACTTTGTTTAAGGAAATTCGATTTATTTGATATTTTAGCATCGCCTTCCATTGTGCGATTTTGAGTAACTTTGGTGTCTTTGACGTCACACGTGGAATGAGCAGCTGTTTGAAAAAGTATGAAATATTGTGAGTAATTGATATTAAAGGAGAAATAATTCAACAACCCTGTTAGATTAATGAGTGCAATAAAACATCTTAGAATGCATTTAGTATTGCATTAGTGAAGTCCCGGGATATAGGTATATTATGGTCAGATAATTGTGATTACATCAACGTAAGTTACAGTCGGACCGAGGTCTCATTGTAACTAAATTTCCTATGTAGTTTGAATTTATTCAGTTGGAAAATACCCATCCACGCGCTCACGTCATATAATACATATATATGCGTCGTCTTTTGACAGGTCTATACAATGTAAATTATCTATACGAAATAACGACCTACCATCTGTACCACACCCGGCGGCGTTACAAAGGTCACCGTAACAGCATTTTGAACATACATGGTGTGTTCCGTTGTTGTCTGTCCGAGTGACGAGATATGTGTGGTTATATTGAGAAGTCAAAGAGCACCTCTTGAAGCCATATAAAAAAGACTTTGTTGATATATATTTAGTTTACAGCGATATATTTATACAAGTGTATCTAAAAAGGCATGCCATAAAAGTAACATTAGAGGCGATAGGATACCAAACTAATAATTATTACAGAGTGAAGATAGTTTGCAAGATGTTTTCGTTGCTTCAATAATACGATTTCGTTTATTTATTACGCTTATTAAAAAGCATGTATACGTTATTTCAATCACCGTTTAGACATTTTTTTTACTACATAGAAAAAGGACCGAATATATGGCTTAACCGAATTTTTTCCATCCTCAATTACACCCGTACGTATTGGTCGCTGGACCATTATCATCTCTATGATCGTTGTTATTTACCTGTTTAGACATGCATCCGATGTTGAAATAGATTGCCCCATTTCCAATTTGGTAAGACTGGGTCACGCATATCTGGAATGAAAATAAATTGCAGGTCATATATACATTGAACAGGACAATCAACGTACAAATATAGTTTTTTTAAACAGTACTCACAACTTAGAGTCACAACGAAAACCCACAATTGACCTGTGCCTCTATTTCAATGTTAATAATTATACATTGTGTTTATACTCGGAATGAATTTAATGATAATTATAATCTAGACACAGACTTGTTACAGTATTATGGTATTTTATCAGCAATAAGAAAATACATTACACAAAACAATATTAATCACAATACAAACATGGACATGTTTACCCTAACTTACCTATGGACATGTTTTACCCTGTTATACCTATTAATGCTAAAACCCTTCATTTCACCATGATGAAATAAAGCGCCCCTGCCCCACCCTAATTTTATCTACCCAAGACTTAATTTTTGTGATTTTCATATTCAGGACATCAAACTCATGTTATCTAAAACAGATTTGATCTAAAAATGTCAAATAGAAAAAAAAATGCTAAAAATCTTAATTTCACCATTATGGTGAAGCGCCCCTGCCCCGCCATATATTTTTCTACCCCAGACTTTATTTTTGTGATTTTTATATTCAGGACATCAAACTGATGTAATCTAAACCAGATTTGGTTTAAAAACCCTTCATTTCACCATTATGGTAAAGTGAAGGACCCCTGCCCCACTCGATTTTCTCTAGCCCAGACATAATTTTTGTGGTTTTCAGATAGAATACTTGAAGTAAACTTAAAGAAAATGAATGGAAAAAGTATGTGAGAATAGAAATCGATGGACCCCTTTATTTCACCATGGGGCGGTTCATAATACCATAATGCTAATATGAACAGCGGTTCATTTCACCATGCCACGCCCGGTGTCTATTTTGATGTGTTACCTGACAGTGCTAAGCCGAAATTATCTTAATAGTTACACACTAGAATGTTTCAGGTTTTTTGCGCATATTTAATTAAGTTACTGCAGTGCAAATACAAACACAGATCTGCATATAATTTCCTTTTATATCTCAAAATCCTTTTTTCTCTTCTTCTTTTCTATATTTCTGTTTTCCTTTCCTTTCTGTCTGCTCTCTTTTTGTACTATCATATAAGATACATATTCACTACTTAAATTTATGTAAGCATACAAAAATGAAAGTGTGTTTAAGTATGTAATTAGAAGACATTATTTGTACTTGTATATTGTACACTGTATTGATGAAAAAACCTAAATAAAAAATTACCAAAACAGAAGAAAAGTTATATATTGTGCTAGAATGACAAAAATGTCAATGGAGATTGTCGTCATCGCTGTTGCGTGACTGTGTATACATGCAACATTGATGTGATAATTTATTATGAGAATTATTAATTGTTAATTATCTGATATATTTAATATTCGAAGTGAAAATGATACAATGTTTTTACTGACTTTCGATTCTACAAACTGACATTCAATATTATAATGAACATAGCAAATTATCTACGTACTTCTCCTTGTGGACAGTTTTCAATACAATTACATTGACTTAGGTTGTGAGATGTCATTACAACGCTAACATCGTATAGCGGCGGTACCTGTCAATAAAACGGCAGAAAGTCTTGTTTGAATGGGTATGTTAACAATTACATTGTACAATATTTTGATGTGAAACGGCAACCGGAAGAAACTTTACTGCTTTTAATAAATCTTAAACCTTTCATAGCAACTGTTATACAAAACAATAGGCAACATAATTGGTCAGAAGAAATTATTATTTTTAACCAAAGTTTAACTCTCGCGACCACACCTACGCGCATTTTACATGCTTACATTATAAGAAAAGGAACATTTACCTAATCTTCCGGCTTGTGACAAACTGCTTTCTGTCAAACTTGTTATGATCGAGCGTACCCATTTAAAATATGTGCATGATAGAATTGTTTGATTTATTTGTTGTGCCATTACTATATGAGTATGTACATTCAAGGCCAAAAAAGAGGCAAAAAACGCAGGAGACGCCAAGATAGACACATCTTGTACATCAAACAACAGGTTTAAAAAGGAATATCTTATGAATTTATGTTTTTGTTTGTTTATAAATGGATTATAATTATCACTGTGAGAATACTTTTTAACATATTTAGATTTTAACATATTTGATCCCTGAGAGCTTGAAAGCGGGTCAAGGTCATTCATTTGAACACACTTGGTAGCCCTTCATCCAAGTATGCAACAGTCCAAATTTAAGTACCCTGGACCTTTTGGTTATTAAGAAGAGGTCGTTCGAAAATGTTAACACATTTGACCGATGTGACCTTGAAAGTGGGTCAAGTTCATTCATTTGAACAAACTTGGTAGCCCTTTATCCAAGCATGCTACAGGCCTAACAACAGTACCCTGGGCCTTTTGTTTATTGAGAAGTCGTTTGAATATTTTAACACATTTGACCCCTGTGACCTTGAAAGTGGGTCAAGTTCATTCATCCCAGCATGCTACTGGCCCTTTTGGTTGTTGAGAAAAAGTAGTTTTAATGGAAAGGTTGACGACGGACGGATGACGGCCGGACAGACGGACGACAGACGTCGCACCACGGCATAAGTTCACTTGCCCTTCGGTCAGGTGAGCTAATAAACTAAGGTTCCAGGGTGAGCGGTTGTTCATGTTAATAAACTTGATATACTTTCAAGATCACATCTGGTCAACAGTGCATAAATCTTTAAAAATCAACTCAATAAACAAAAGGTACAGGGCCATTAGGGTGATGTTTGACATGTTGCATTCTGTGAGGAAGGCTATAGAGTTTGTTCAATTTAATGTCCATGTTTGACTGTCAAGGTCACAGGGGTCAAATGTGTTTTAATCATTTAACAGGTTCTTTTGAATGATTTCAGTCCACTCTTAAGGTTACAATTGTGAGATTAATACCAGGTGAGCGATGCCGGCCTCCTGTTCAAATATCAAATTGAAATTTGGTATAGAGGTATATGATAGTCATGTTAACATGTTCTGACGTCGCTTACTTTATTCTGTATTTTTAAAGATATTTTTCTGGCGACGCCTGTCACTTTCAGACGTTTGATGTCGGTTGAAGACGCTTTTAAGGGTGACCGGTTTTCGATAGTTTTTATGTTGTCTGAACCGGAAGTGAGATGCCCTATATTAATCAGACATAGATTGATGTGGAAACATGTTAAAATATAAATACAAACTGATAAAGTAATAATTAAAATCAGTTGTTAATTGTTATCTATATCAGCGTGTTGTAAAATTCGGAGAAAATTTCGTTTTGCCATCGTAATGATCAGTATATACATTCTAATTTCACTTTCAAATAGCTTCGAGCATATTCCTTAGAACTATACCACATCCTAGCTAACGAAATCGTAATGTTACAGTCAATAGGATGAAAGAAGTGATATAAACAGTCATGATTTACCTATTTTGCAACGATATGTTGCGTTACATTTTGTCCCATAAGCATAATAATAGTTTGCCGCGCTATGTCAACTACGATTACGTGACAATCACATGCTTCGCAAGTCGTGCGGTGAAATCAACTTGCGAAGAAACAATAATGAATAAAAAACACAAACTTTTCCTTTTTAACAATAATGAAATATTGTTTTTGATGAAAATTGTAAATAAAGAAGCCATCGTCAGTTGTTTACGACAATAACGTTAACTTTGGATCGATTTCCGGCACCATGCTGTCAGGGCGGTATGTCCCGATTTTGACACTTTTTCAACGAAGAAACAGGGAAATCAACTTATAATGCAATATAGAAAGTATTGCTTTAGTGATTAGAAACACACGTCTTCCTTCTGAAGTTATATTTTCATTGAAATCGGCATGATTTTCTCACATAACGTGTCAAGGTAACCGTGCATATTTGTAACCGTGCATATTTGTGAAAGGCATGCTCGTTTTCTTATCGGTATTTGTTAGAAAATGTCGGTAGGTCTAATCATTTTAATTTGATACACAGTCCAACAGTGTATTTTACATAGCAATTAACTGCACCACATGTTTTGTTAATACTTAAGTGTATGATCACCAAGCGATGATCCATCTATTATTTTCCGCTGACTGGGGTGAAGCGAGGTGTAAAAAAATTACCTGGAGTGGACAGGTTATCACCTCGGGCGATATACCGTTGGCTGGACCTATAGTTTATTTGTTCAGGTGTTTCACACGGACAACTTACCTGCGTTTTTACCTTATAAAATCCATTCACGGTAGAAAAAAATAACTAGAAATTGTCATGGACAATTTCACGGGCTTTTCATGGCTGCTAGCTACGCTTTGACACTTAAGGACAGTTAAGGTTAAACAATATCCAAAAAGAACACGTGTATCTACCGATTTTGGTCAACATTTGACTGGCTCAAAATGTAGTTGAAGTCGAAAATGTCCCATTTAATCAGATGCCAGGGTGGCCATTTTGTTCAGGACCTCTTAAAGATCCATTGTAATAAGTAAGGGGTCTTTAGTTGCAGCCATTCCTGAGA